AGTGGGATGTGGACAAGCTGCTTAAAGCCTTGGGCCTCAGTTTCCTCATCTGTGAGATGAGGGTCTAGCCCCATTGGCCTCATCAGGTCATGTTAAGTCTCAGGCTTGGAGTGCAACAAGTATCAATAAATGCTTGTCCCCACCTCCAGGGCAGGAAGTGTCACATGTGAGGACCAGGGACAGACAGGCTCCGGGCCGAGACTCCTGGGGTACTTAGAGGCCCAAGGAGCCTGGACAGGCTACTGAGACTGTCTCGGGGTTTCTTTGCAACCCTTCAGGCCTGAGCCTCCATCAGAAGCAAAAGAGCTTGGAATCTTAACAGAAAGCAGTGGAGGGAGCTAAAGGGTGACTTGTTTTGCTCAGAAGAAGGGTGTTGCAAAATATTTTAATGGAAGCATGTGCAGGAAAAGGCAGGGAAAACTGTATCTGACAGTTCCAACAATAGCTCTGCCATTACCAGTGACCTCTGGCACCTCTCCGAGCCTCAGTTTTCCCATGTTTCTTACCTTGCTGGGGTGAGGTAATTCCACAGCTGTTCACTGAGTACCAGAATACCTCACTGACCAAAGCAAAGTCACTGCTCTCATACATCTTTCATTGGAGCGAGTCCATGAGATGATGTGCTTCAAGGATTAGCATATAGTAAGTGCTCTAAAAATGGTACTTTCTATTTTGCTAGTGGAGCTATCTAATATGTATGAATTCACCCTTTGATACTTGTGAGTGGTGACAATTTAAATCGAGCCATTGAGTCTCGTCCTCACAGTTTTCTCCTTTGTACGCTGCAACTTCCGAGCCTGATCCTGAATTAGGGCTCCTGCCTCCCTACAAATCTCCTCAAGGATAGCTTCTTACTGCCCGAAAGCACCACTTCCAGCTAGCCCGATGCTGGGCCAGAAGAAACCAGCCCCAGGCCCTGCTTTGGAGCAGCACAAGTTTGATGGAGAGGCAGATGGGGATGTGACCACTGGCAGAGTGGGAGTCCCTGATGAGAGGGGCCGGGTGGGGGCATTGGAGGTGAAGGTGCCAGGGAGAACCTCTTCTCCTGTTGTCAGAACTGGTTCTCCTTGAAGGGGAGTAGGAATGATTCAGGTATAGAAGGCAGGGAAGAGCATTCTTCGCTGCAGGAACAGCTTTTGCAAATAAAGATCCAGGGAGGAGAGCTTAGGCTGGGAGTGGCTGGACTAGGGAGATGTTTGGGGCAGTTCCTCACTTAGGAGGAGCCTTAGCAGGGTTTGGAGCTTGTCAAGCCCTGTGTTTTAGGACTTTCTCTGGCTGCAGTGTGGAGTAACTGGGGGCAGGAAGCACAGAGGGAAAGGAGGGGCAGAGAGGGTCACTGATACTGCTCAGGGCTCCAAAGAGTGGCCCGCTGACGTTCTGCGCCATACCAGAATTGGCCACCAGAGGACACTGTGAATCAGCAAGCTGTGGAGGCCTCTGCGGATATCAGGGATTGCAGCTGGCACAGCTGTGAATGTGGATAGTGTCTGTGAATGTACTTGAGCCTGTGTGGCTACTCAACGTGCATGTCACTCTCGTGCACCCTGCTGTGTTTATGCAGGTTGTGTGCACGTGTATTTGGGGTGTGTGGACTTACACGGGTGTGAAAGAGGGGTTGGGACTGTGCAAAGGCCTGTGAATGAGCATATGCAAGAATGCATGTAGCTGAGAACAGGGGCCCCATCATCTCCCACTACTCCAGCTGTACTGTTATTCCCCTATAAGCCATTCACTTCAGGGCCTCTGCACATGATGTTCCCTCTGCCTGGAATGTCTACCCCAGACATCCTCATGACTCCTCCCTCATGTCTGTGCTTACGTTATCATCCAGTGAGGCTTTTCCTGACCTTCCTCTCTAAAATTACAGCCCCCATCCCTAGACACAGGCCATGTCCCCATCCCTCATTTCCCCAGGAGAACTTATCATCCTGTAACAGACTATAATTTCACTTAGGCATTTTGCTTGTCTTGCTTGCCCACCAAGCTGTCACCTCCTGAAGGCAGGGAGTTGTATCTTGTTTAGTGCTGTGCCCTCCATGCTAGGCACAGTAAGTGTTCAATAAATAGTTGTTGAATGAATGAATGAGCTGCCCAGATCCTTCAGACCATTCTATCTCCAGCCCTCTGTCACCTCAGGTCCTGCCCACCTCAGCTCACACCCACATCATGACTTCAGTCATACCCCTTTTCACCTGTGACTCAGTTTCCCTGAGTTTACAGAGAGGGGTGTTTGGGATCTTTCTTCTAGGAGTCAGGGTAAGAGGTAGCCTGTTGTGACCCTGTCAAATGTACCTTCTAGTTTCTGAGTGGTTGTGGAGTTCTCCAGTCTCACTGTGCTACTTAGAGGCAGAGAGAGGCCAACAGATGTTGCTGCAAACAGCTAGGAAGAGAAAAAGAAGCTCTCCAGTAGTACTCCCTACCCCAGCAGCAATGCAGCTCTGCACCCCAGCATGGCTCTCATGTGTGGCCTCTTTCATACCTCCAAACCTTTCCAGGGAAACTTTCTTGCTTCTCTACCTGACAAGCTCCTACTGATCCTTAAAGGTCCAGTATCAAAGTCACCTCCTCTGAGGAGCCTTCCCTAACCTCACCCAGGTGGAGTCTGGAACTCTTGCTCATGCATCTATTTATAGCACCCCACACAAGTTTTGTGATTCTTGGATCTGTCTGTCAGACTCTCCAACTAACCCTGTCAACTCCTCCAACTGGAGGGCCTTGTCTGAGTCATATGGGCACCCAGGAGACTGGCATGGGACTAGAGTCATTTCATTAATGTTTATGGCATGTGTTTCATCCTTCCTTTGTTCATTCTTCAAATATTTATTAGGCACCTACTATGCGGTAGGACCTGAGCTATGCATCAGGAATGCAGCAGAGAATGAGTTTGCAAGATTTCTGCCCAGGAGGGACCAACAATCTAGAGGGTAAAAACAGTAAATAAGAAAGGCATTGGAGGGATGAGTGCTGTACAGAGAATTAAAACCTGAGGCATGACCAGGAAGGACTCTTAGGGGAGTTCATTTAAGAGGTAGCCTGTAGGATGAAAGGGAACCAGCCTCAGGAATCATGGAGGGAGGGTAGCGGGGAAAGATGTTCTAGGCAGAGGGAATAGCAAGGGCAAAGGCCCTGAGGCAAGACCAGTATAGGTATGTTCAAGGGGCAGCACTAAGACCCCTGAACAGAGCAAGGAGCAGAAAAGGTGAGAAAGAACATGGGAGGAACAGAAGTCTGAGTGGTCAGCAGGGCCTGAACCGTGAAAACCCACTGGGCCAGGCTTGCAGTCTTGGTAGGGAGGTAGCTGCTGCTGGGTGCCCATTTTATAGATGGATAGCCTCAGGTCTTCAAGGGAAATGACTGGCCCAAGGTCACATGGCCCATTTGGGACAGAGTGCTCTGGGCCACTCCAGATACCTAGGAGTGGTAAAGAGAGTGTGGCTTCCTGTAGGAGGTGGCCCACAGTGTGTGTACAAATATTTCCTGGGCATCTAGTGAGTGCTAGGCCTTGAGCCAGGCACTTCCAACCCTGAGCTCATAGACTGATTTCAAAGAGACCTCATTGTCTCCATGGAAAACACATAGAACTGTTCAGTGATTTCTAGTAAGTGGCAGAGTTGACATTCAAATCTATACCTGAGCCCATAGCTCATGACTTTCTACCTACTGCCTAGAAAGGGTGAACAAGAGATGCAGGAAGAGAATAATGATAATTATAAGCTCTCCCCATCCCCCCTTTATCTCATCTGGCCTTCCCCGTCACTGTGTAGGTGGGGCCCTGCAGGGATCACCCCTGTTTTACTAATGCGCAAGCAGATGTCAACCCCCTGCTCCAAGAGTTTCTAGCAGGTGGTGGAATCTGCCTCCATAACAAGAGGTCCCTGGCAAAGCACACCATCATGCTTGCCTGGAGGCAAGGGGCTGCCCCTTGACTTTTGTCAGGTACTTCCTGGCCTTGCGAGCCCATGGCTTCCAACCGACTCTCCTGATCCCAGCACCAGATTAGTCAGTGGCTCTTGAAATCCACCAAGGCTCCATGTGGGAGCAGAAGGGAAGACTGACTGATCTGGCCATTATACAGATGAGCAGATTGAGGCCCCAGGGGGAGAGGAGAGCTTGCTGACTGGAGTAAAATGCATTGAAATGCTATCTTACTCCTTCCAAGACTCAGTTTCATCATATGCAGAACGGGGGACAGTAACGACAAAACCATTAAAGCTCATTTGCGGGCTTCACATTCACCACTGTATCCCCAGAGTTGATTGGGCCTGATGCACCGTGGACGCTCAGTGGATGTTAGGTGAAGCAGGGAATGTGCGCATGCTGAGTATTGTGCTAAGCCTTTTCCAACGTTCAGTCAACAAACACTGTCCACGAAAACCCGGGTCTGTTCTCATCAGCAGAGCCAGGAGACAGGGCTTTTACAGTCCCTCTTTTACAGAAGCAAAAACTCAGGCTCGGGGGTTACCTGACTTGCCCAAGGTCACCGCTAGAAAGTAGCCAAGTCGGTATTTGAACCCTGATCTCACCCCGGGGCGCACTTTTAACCCCTCCGCAGCACCCTACCTTCCGGGTTCCCAGGGCCGCTGCTGGGCCACTCTAGGGTATCTGGGTTTTTCTTACAAGATTACTCACCCCGGGCGGGCCCACAAAGCGCACTGGCGGGGAATAGCGGGCTGGGCAGAGTGGGAGGTGGGGTGGGGGGAGGTGCAGGGGCCGGGCCTAAAGCCTGACAGGCGAGAGGCGGGCTCCGCAGGTCTGGAGGAGTGGGCCGGGATTGTGTCTTGACAGGCAGTGTGAAGGACACGGCTCAAGCCTAGAAAGGGGAGGAGCCTGACTGGGCTTGGGTTTCCCGGTTGGCGGGCTTGACAGACAGTGAGAGGAGCCGGATTCTGGGCCTGCAGAGGGCGAGGCTTGTGCTTGACAGGCAGGGTCAGGCAGGCGTTTGATAGGCAGGGGACGGGCCCTGGAGACTGGCAGGCCAATCGGCACGCGGGGTCGGGGCCTGCGCCAGCGCCATCCGACCCAGGCTCCTGCGGTGCTTCACAGTCTGGCTCCGGCGCCGCCCGTCGCGGTCTCGGTTCTGCTCAGCCCGCCTCTGCTCCTGCTCGGCGTCCGGGCTCCCTGTCCGCAGCCATGAACGCTCTCCTCCCGAGTCGAGCCCGCTGTCTTCTAGATTAGTCCCCGCTGCCGTCCCTGGACCGCCTGCACCATGGAGTCGCCCGCCTCGAGCCAGCCTGCCAGCATACCCCAGTCCAAAGGTAGGAGCGACCCGCCGTGACTGCGGCTCGACCCCCGCGCCCAATCTGGGCCCAGGCTGCGAATCCTGACCTTTGCGTGATCCTACCCCAGCCCGTTCCGGACCCAGGTAGCACCCTGGCCAAGAAACCCACCCTATTCGGATCCGGGTCCCAGCCTGGGACCTCACCCGGATTCCCGATTTAGGCCTTGGAACTGCACCCAGGCCTGAACTCTGGCTAGGATCTCGTTGTGATCACCCTGCGCCAGGTCAGGAACCTCACTCTGACCTTCTCATTTAGGACAGGAACTCTCCCAATATGGGTTCCTCAGCTGGACCCAGGTGGGATTCACTCTGATCCTGCACCCTTCCACACCCGGGTCGCAGGGCTGTGACCATGCTGGGATTTGACTGACTCTCTGTTTGGGCCCCAGCGGTGCTCTGCTGCTGGGGACCTCATTGTACCCTACTCACCCTCCCCCGTGGGTTGCCCTGGTTACACTCTAGCTCAGAACTCCCTGTCCTCTCCCCCAACTCTCCCCATCCTTGTAGGCCCCACATTGCCCTATCCCTGGCTGTCCTGCGTTCCATCCTGCAGCTCTGTCCCCTGGGAACTTCTCTTGGCCTCCAACCCCACCCTAATGCACAGCCCCCTCTCCATGGGTTCCTTCTTGTCATGACTTGCATGCTTCTCTCTGCACTTGGGGACCTCACCCTGCCGCCCCTACCCCAGTGTTCCCAGAGTTGATTGCTACCAGGCCTGTCCTTGCTGTCTGTGGGTCCCGGGCCAGCTGCCAGCCCAGGGTGCTGGCTGTGTAATGGGCTTACACTTGTCTTCTCCAAGTATCTGGCCTTCCTGGAAATTTTTGTGAGGTGGCAGCTGCGGTGGCAGCAGGATTTGTCATGCGGAGGGGAAGGATGAGGCTTGGAGGGTGGAAGGGGGATTTTTTGCAGGAAGAGGAAAGGATGTTTTTGGCATGTTGGTGTCTCAGCAGGCTGGATTGTGAGAGATTTCCAAATCGGACATAGCTGTAACGAATGAGCTGCCTCACCCCAACAGCAGGAGTGTCACTGGTCCTCAGTTTCCTTATCTGTAAAATGGGAGTCATCACATCTATCTTCTGTGGACTCGAATATAATGTGAGACAGTGACTACTAAAGAGTTTTAAGCAAGCATAGGTGATGAGGCGAAGACCTCAGCATGGTGCCTGGTGCATAGTAGGTGCTTAGGAAGGGATGGTTGCTCTGCGGGCCTGTTATTGTTACCATTTTTCTTTCTGGAAAGGGCTCAGCCACGTGGGGTCAGGGCCTTGCCTCTGCTTGGGTTGCAGCTGCAGAGTTAGGGGGGAGGTAACAGCTGGTATTTAGTGGGTCCCTAATTAGGGGTTGTTCCTCTCTCTTTTTCTCTGGAGGGACCCAGGCAGTAGGAGGGTATGTGGGATTCTGTGGTGGCTGTGAGCCAGGGCCCAGCTAGCTGGTGGGCAGGGCAGTTACGTCTTACATAAGTGGGAGGTCGGATCCCTGACCATTGCCCAACCACTGTGAGTAACTCAGGAGGCACTTGATGGGGGGAGGTGGCTGGGGAGAACTTGTACTGCACAGACCTTGTAGAGCTTGAGAACCAGGAAATCATAAGCTCTACTCTGGAGAAGTGGGAAATCAGACACTTCTTTTCTCAAGCTTAGGGTCGAGGCCTGGCTTGGTTAGTGCAGTGGAACTTAGGGCAGATCCCTCAGTCTCTCTGGGCCACAATGTTTTCATGGGTGGAAGGAAGAGGTTGGAAGCAATCTTTGTTGTCAAAGGTCCTTTCAGCTCTTCCAGGCAGGGAATGCCTCATCAAAATAAAAGTTTAAGTTGCAGGATTGTGAAGGGAGAGGGGGCATGGATGCGAAAGGAAAAAACATTTTGAGGAGACAACTGCTTGGTCCCCCTATGCTCTGTGACTCGAATTCTGGCATTGCCCTCTCTGAGCCTCTCTGCAGAGAAAGGACCAGGATGAATTTCCAGTTTGTGAGTTCAGGTAACAGATAATGTTGGGTGGGTTGGATGGAGGGTTAGGGGCCTCCCCAAGGCCCAGAGACTCTGTCAGCCTCTTTGGAGTCTGTGAAAGGATATGGTGGCAGAGCCACAATGCCCCCTCAGCAAACATTCCGAGAGCTCCTACCTACCAAGCTTTTTTTTCCCCATGTACCATGAACTCTTCATTTATTCCTCACAGCCCCATTTACAGATGAGGAAACTGAGGCTCAGGTATTTAGTGCCTTGCCTGAGGTCACACAGCTGTGACAGATGGATCTAGGGTTCTACCTAGGACTGTGTGTCTCCAAAGACCTCACCAGTGTACCTCTATTCCTGTGCTGGATGCTTGAGCTGAGCTGGTGGGGCACTCCCCTCCTCCCATTACACCTACATCCAGTAGGTATCTCCTCTAGTCCATGCCCAGCCTGAAGGACAGACTAAGCTAGAGGTGATGCCTCTCATGTGCACAGCCCTTTTACAGCCCCACCCATTTGACAGATGGCAAAACCAAGGTCAGACCAGGGTAGGGGGGTGGCTGGACCGAATTCACAGAGCTGGGTGCTCACCAGTGCTCTCCCCATCCTGGGCACAGGGCCCCAGAGTTGTGCTCCTCTCTGATTCCTAAGAGGAATTTGAACAAAGCAGGGTATGGTTTACATTTGACCTTATGAGGACTTTATGTTTGAACTTCTTGCCTTGCAGTGGGTACCCTGCCTCATCCTCCATGCCACTGGCCTGAGGAGTTTTCTGTGAGTGCTCTAGGCCCCAGACCCCAGGCCCCAGAGCCCTACTTGCTTTCCCTGGCCTTCTTGCCTGTGTGCCATCTTTGGCTAGGATCAGAGGCTAAGGGCAGCTGGCACTGGGGCCAGGAGGTTGCGGGGGGGCACATTTGGTCTGCATGGTCTAGGTCTGCTGCCTCAAGCCACATTTGTCTTTGGGGGCACCACATGTATCCTGTCACTGCTCCTGCTTCACTGTGACTGCTGCCCATGTGGGCACTTTATGGTTGATCTTTATGCTGCTCTCAGGAGCCAGATAGGACACTGAGGCTGAAAAGAGCACTGTCTGTGTCCTGGCTTTGCTGGCCATGGCTGATGCCCTGCCTCCATACCCCCCACCTGTCCTGTTCCTTCCCAGCTGTTGGAGGGTGGCACCTTGGGGACTTCCCCCACCCCTGGCATGACGCACAGGAAATTATCAGCCAGCCTGTAGCTTGGGGCCTGAAGGGATCAGAGTTCTCAGTTGTCTGTGTGTGGAGAGAGCCAGGGCAGCAGAAGGTTTCCGGTGGGTGACTCAGCCAGCACTGGTGCTGACTCACCTGCTGGGCATGTCAGCCAGCTGGCTCCTGCTGCTTAAAGGGGTTATGGCCTGCTGGCTGGTGGGTGAGAAAGGAACTGTGAGCTCTGGCCTCACAGGCCATCATATGGCCCTGAGTTGGGCGCTGGAAGTGGTCCCCTTCCTACACCTCAGACTGGGCTGGGACCCCCGGGTAGGCCCTCCTGTGCCTGTATCCACCTCACCCAGGAACTTCCTCTGTTAGGCAAGGGCCCTGCTTCCTCTTGCTTGAAGAGCAGGAGCAGGTGGTGGTGGCTGTTCACTATCCTTGGCACAGGGGCTCCTCAGGCTCATATGTGCTATTGGGGGTTCTGGGAGGCTGAGGAGCATAGGTGGTGCAGTATTGGCCTGTGCTTGGGAAGACAGGGGTGGAAAGCTGAAGACTGCATTCTCATTCCAGCTTAGCCCCTTTTGCTGTGTGACGTGGGACAAGTCATGTGTATGGTACATTCACTGCACTCTCAATGATTTCAGTCCCCTGGATGTGGCTCACCTTTTGGATGAGAGGCCTCGGTTTCCTTATCTGAAGAATTGGAATGGGGACCCCACCTGCCTGTCTTGCTGGCAGCCACAGGGATGGATGTAGACAAACTCATTCCACTCTTGCTAAGTGTCAGGTACTCGGCACAGCAAGACTGCCCTCTGCCCATGAAGAACCTGGCGAGACAGGAAGTGGGGGCAGAGCTTGAGCTTGAGGGGTGGGAGTGGATGGGCCTGCATTCAAATTCTGACTCGCTCACTGCTTTGAAACTTCCTTACATGCCCTCTCTGACCCTAAGTCTCCTCTTCTGTAAAGTGGGAATACATACCCCTCCCTTGCAGGGTGGTAGTAAAGACCGGAGATAGTGTTTGTCAAACAAATGCATCTGTTATTATTTTCTTATTGCTATTGTCATGGTGGTTGTTCATCGGTGGATGAATAAACAGGATTGGGACCTCTGACTTGTATGGACTTGTAAGCTCTGTGACATGAGGATTCTCTGGCTGCAGGGTCCTATAATGCTAGCCAGAATGTACCAGACTCTTTACCCACTGGTCCCCAAGCTGGAGCTAGGGGCTCCCATGGCCTCTTGGGCCTTCCTGCAGAGGGCCCATGGGGAACAAAGAGGACTGGGTGCTACAGGTCTGCATCTCCCGAAGTATGGGGAGGTGTGAAATGAGGAATCAGGAGGATGGAGCCTCCTAGGCAAGCCCCTCAGTTGATAGAACTTCATGCATGCCAGGCCTGGTGTGGCTGCAGGGATTTAGGGGTGAATGAAGCGTACCCTGACTCAAAGAGTTCCACTTGGGGAACAGAAGGAAGCCTTGGCAATAGTGGTTCTAACAGTCCAGACCCAAGGCTAGGTGTGCCAGTGGACAGCAGGTTTGACCTGAAGGATGTAGGGCCTTAGCAACCATGGGCAAATCTCAGGAGGGGTACCTTGTCACCATTTGGTCCCAGAGGAAGAACACTGGAGAGCAGCACAGAAGATGCCACACAGAGAGCCCCATCCGGCCAGACAGGGTGATGAGACAGGCCTGTGGAGCTCCCAGTGGTGGGGCTTGTAGCCTCTTGGCATTGCCCACATAAGTCAGGCCTGCTCGCCCAGCTGCTTCTGTCAGTGCTTCCCCAAGCAGTGGCCATGGAAACCCCAAAAAGTTTCATGTAAAGGGCACGAAGAGCAGACA